GCTTGTTGAGACATGAATAATAAAGTTCTTTATATCTGACCTGAAAATTTCATGTCTTCTAGCAGTATCTATGAAACAAAAATAGCCAAATGTATAAGCTTAAAAGTATGGTAAAATCTCAGTTCTTTACAATTCTTGACACTTCTCATTTTCCTTATCATTCTTGATTTATTTAATGGTAACTGTAATGCATACAGTGGCACTACTTTTATTCTGATCATATAAAAGATGAGATATCTCTATGCCACACTCATCAAAACTGACAAATGCAGCTAATAATAAAGTAAATCGCTGTTTTAATATGTTCTACCTGGAAAATAAGACCTTCTGTGCACTCTTTGTTTCTCCTTAAATCCAATAGCAAGGTATTTTGTTCTGATTGAGAGTAACTTGTGTATTCACACTTCCTGACCTAAGGGCATAAGAGAGACCTGGGATAGGAATGAGGAAAGCCTGAGCTTCAAATGACTATTTAGGAGACAGATCATAAGAACACATCAGTCTCTGGCCAAAAATTCCCGAAACCCCAAGAGATAGCAAGTTCTGTAGGCAAACTTTACCAGCCACAGTGTTAATTAAATCAACATCATTCACTCATGTCAGAAACAAAGGAGCTGTGATGCCTCAGGCTATACTGAAATGCACAAAGAGAATTTGCATTAATTGAACTACAAATCTAAGAGGCAGGAGAGTTGTCCAAGTGCTGACTCAAGGYTAGGTAAGACATCACTGGCACTTGTGGACAAGTAGCCATCTTACATGAGGGCCATAAATCTAGCTATTTATGGTAAGTTACCATACTCTTCACTCATACACACACTTTTATTCTCAGAAAAAAAAGTGCATGCTAAGAATAGATAAACTTGGATAAAGTGGAAAATAGGCACTGTGCTTCCCTAATGGCATTTACTTAAKTTATTCTGAAATTACTATAATAGTGTTTCACAGAGGAAAATGTTATAGAAATTCTAACAATTTGAGGAAAAATAATGCATTAATACATTTTCCCCATTGTCCCAAATGTGTAACCYATAAAAACTTAAATTATGCAACAAGTATACCACTTATGATTATTATATTTTTAGAAATCTTTTTTGAGAAATAGGTGAATGATTAGAGCATTTGAAAATATATACAGAAAGGATATATGAACTCCAGATTATAATTTCTAACCTATTGTAATATACCTGTGTTTTTTCATTGAAATTGTCATAGAATTGAAAACATGAAACTTAATGGGTTTATTTTTACCCTCAATGCTTGAGATCAAATCCAGGGTATGATGCATGCCAGTCTATCACGTAACCACCTCCAGTCTCAACGTCAGGGGCTAAGCTTAAATATTCATGTAGTTTGTGAAAAAAATCTGCTTTTTCTCTGAAATATAGGGATAGATACATGTCTAATTTCCTCACTTATCATGGAAAATAGTGATCTGATCTAGGACCTTGAACATGCTAGGCAAGAACTCTACCACTGAGCTATACACCCAGCTCCAAAACATAATCTAAATTCTGTTTTCACACACAAACACACACACACACACACACACACACACAAACAACACAACAATAAAAAACCAAAATATTATTTACTGGAATTATTTTGAAGATGTACAAACATAGTGAGAGCCCTTGACTATTGATATGAGAATAGGACTTTGTGAAAGCTAAGGGAGATTTGGACCAAATATTTAAAAGTAATCATGCTCTTTGTCTATGAAATAATAATAGTAATAATTGTAGTGAGTGTGGATTTCAGGATCTAGACTACTGAACTTTACCCAAATTTATGCAAAGCAATCCACTCTAATATTTTCTTTATCCAACATGTTCCTTGCATTGAATAGTCATCTTTCCTTGAAATAGTAAATAGAATTTCTGTATTTACTTATGTTTGTTTGGCATTTAAATGCCATAAATCTACATATGTTCCTGACCAAGAAATTTGTTCACAGTGTTCTTATTAATCAATCTCAGACAACCGCCAACTAGACTTTGAATAAAAGTAAATGTTAGGGCTGGGGATGTGGCTCAAGGGGTAACATGCTCGCCTGACATGCGCYGGGCTCTGGGTTCGATCCTTAGCACCACATAAAATAAAGATGTTGTGTCCACCGAAAACTGAAAAATAAATATTAAAAAATCTCTCTCTCTTCTCTCTCTCTTTAAAAAAAGTAAATGTACTATATATATTTTAGTGTTCTTTCTAAGTCATAAGTTAGTTGAAATCAGAGACCAAATAATATGAATATAGAATGAATCACTTATCAATGTATATTTGTGGAGATAGGGATTAGTTGATTTCAGACTTTTGTTCAATAAGAGAGAAAGTTCTTCACTGCTCCAGTAAAGATAGCTAAAAAGATTTCAAATTTGCATATAGATTATTTTATGAGTTTCCTAATTTTAAAATTAAATTCAGCCTCATTTGCCCTATAACAGAAAAAAAACATAAAGTACATTACAAAAATACTCTAGGCTAATTGTTTCATTACTATCTTAATGGACTAGATAGCTAGCTAAATGGAAGACTATAATAATTATGATACTATTAAGAATAATAATGGCAACATTTGTATAACATTAACTATATGCCAACCATTATTTTAAGAATTTCACATATCTTTATCCGTTGAATCCTCAAAAATCCTGTGGATTAAACATTGTCATTGCATTCATTTTAAACATAAGGAAATTGAAGACAGGAAAGTGAATGAGTTTCTCAGCTAGTAAGTTAGTCATGAGAAGTAGTGATCCCAAACTGTGATCCTAATCACTACCTAATTGCACTGTTGAAGCATTCCAACTTTCAAAAACAAAATACACCAATTGGGGAGAATTTCTTTCCAAATTCTGTTTCTTAGCATTCTGTTTCATATTCACTATTTATTTTTGAGTGACTCTCTATATAATATTTCTAGTTGAAGTCTGCAGCTGGTAAAAATGCAAAGAAATATTATTGAACAAGCATTGTAAAGGTGTATTTCTATATAGTAACATCTATAAAGAAAAAAATCCAGAACATACATAATTTTTTAAAAACCCTGGACATTAATGAAAAGCTAACATATATTAAGAAGTTACTATACTCCAGGTGGTATGCTAAAATGTTTTATATGCAACACCTAATTTACCCCTTGCCATCATCCTAGGGGTAGATTCTGTTATTATCTTCAACTTACACATGGAGAAATTAAGAATGAGAGTGACTCAGATATTTGTCTAAGTGCTAAACATGAATTTTCCAACCAGCCCTTGTAACTTGGATTACATATTGTAACTTGCTTCATATGGAAAAATAAAAAAAAAATTCTCAAATCAGAAATCAAAAGGAAAGCTTTAAAATTAAGAGGGTTATTCAACTAGAAGATTGTCTATGCTCTAGTAGATTTCAAATGCAATATAAGTTTTGAAATCCAACTAGCAAAATAAAAATCAGCTACAGTCTATAACACATAGAAAAGAAAGTAAATAGCAGCTCTCTTTTCCATTGTGCCAGAACAGGAAAGTGCTCAGTAAAATTAAATGTCAATAAAGTAAAGATAAAATTAAACTTTCTTCTAAGCATAGGCACAATTAACCTGTGAAAATTCCTCATATTGGATGGTAATGAAGCAGATAGCTTAGTGAAATTGAGAACTTATCTGATTCACTATAATGGGATTTTCAGTTAGATCAAATCACACTTTGTATTAGTCATCCTGAGTCAGGGCATATGTTGATTAGTAGAAAGAGTTGCAAAAGAAAAAAAATTCTTTTTTTTTCAGATCCAGAAGAGCCATTACTAGTAAATATGATAATAGTAAATATTTATTACATCTGCTTATGAGGAAATGCAAAGTGGATTTCTCAGTATGTGTGAATACATAACTCTGTCTCTAATATAATACTAACTATTGCTTTGTCCAGGAGGTTACAAATATCTTCTTGGTTTTGAATGAAGACAAATTTGGCACTGGGGATGTGGCTCAGTGGTGGAGTGCCTGCCTGGCATGTATAAGGCCCTAGATTCAATCTCTAGCAGTACCTAAAAAAAAAAAGAAAAAAAAAAAAGAAAAAAGAAAAAATTTTCACAGTATTTTTCCTTGCAATATGAGAGTAGAACTATCACTGAGTTGTGAGAAGTTTAGGTGTGATTGACAAAATAGTATGAAGTAAGGATGGATGGATGCTGCAGAAGCTCACCACAGGAGAAGAACAGTTTTGGAAGTCTCTACACATGCATCATAAAATTGAGATTTTTATCCCAACTCCACTGTCTCTTGAATAATAGACCATAAGAAAATGCCTTCACATTGAAGTGTTGGGTTTTCCCATTTTGTAAAATAAAAGGTTTGAATCAGATGAAATCCTAATATTCTATGTTTATACCCTTTGATTTATCACTGTCTGTATTTTATAGAAGCTTGTAATAGAGTTCTTTTAAAATAAGCCTAAAATATACAGAAGTGTTTCAGTGAGTCTTTAAGATTCACTGTTCATGTTCCTCTGTGATAAAAGCCTCTTTTAGGCTTTGAAATAAGTGCTCTGGATGGACCTGTTTGTCTTTTGACAAGAGGACATTATGATTATTTTGGCCACTCAGATTATACATTATAAATTTGGACATGATATCATAGTACTAGATTTTTTTCAACAGTCTATACTGTATTTATGCCTTTTTGCTCACATGATTTTTTCCTGTTTTACTGCAAATCACTCTCAATAACAATATATTGAAGTTCGGTTATAACACCATTATGATTAATTTGTCAACACTTGTTACAAATGGAGAAATCTATTTGAAGAGAAAGGACCCATCATTCATATGGAAGGTCATAAAGATAAAATTGAAAAATATTTCTGGAATATTGATATTTTCACAAATCAAATCCATAAACAACTCATTCCTGTTTGAATTAAATAAACACCTTAAGCAGGTTTAAATAAACAAGTAGTGGACATTAATTTTACTGCTATTTAAAAATTAGTTTCTTTTCTTTTCTTTTTTTTAAACAGATCTGGATAATGTAGAGGGCATTGCTGTGGACTGGATTGGAAATAACCTTTACTGGACAAATGATGGCCACAGAAAAACAATTAATGTGGCCAGACTGGAAAAGGCTTCTCAGAGTCGGAAGACTCTTTTAGAAGGAGAAATGTCCCATCCCAGAGGAATTGTGGTGGATCCAGTTAATGGGTACGCAATTTTAAAAAATCAGCTTTATATCAGAAAAATTATACTACAGAAATTTGTTTTTCATTTTATTTAAATTTCATATGTATAAATGAATTCACACATGGATAGTCTGATTAGGAAAAGTTACTCATATTAATGATTTCTTCTCCTAGAAAATATACTAAATAAAAATATCAAAATACATTGAACTGAAATAAATTATTTGTATAAAGTCTATATTACTTCATTTACTCAGATGAGCTATTTTAGGCAGTCTGACACCAAGATAATTAATCTATCTAATCAGAGTATCAATCTTAATTTTAAAAATGATATTGAAATTTACTGTATTAAAAAGAAATAGCAAATGTTTCTGTACATTTATTATGGGTCAGACATTTTGTGCTCCTAGCTGTATTCTTCACAATAATCATATGAATTGATTGCTATTATCATATACCCTCCCATGTCATGAAGGAGAAACTGCTAACTGATCTGTGAATGGCTGAAACCCAGGCATCCTGACTCAAGACTTTATGCTTAACCACTGTACTCCATTGCTTTTGAGAGTATAGGTTAATGATCACATAATTTTGGATACAACCATAGTTTCCATATAGAGACATCACTTTATAGTACATGGTACTTGCTTAGGACAAAGTATTTGTGCAATTCTTGGTAATATATCCCCCCACACACACTTTTTTTTTTTTTTTTTAGTCAGAGCTATTACCTGGTGCAAACCTACACTCATAGAAATATCAAAGAAATGTGGAAATTCTTAGCAGAAATTCAGAATCAAATGAATATATTGCATATTTTATGTACAGTTTGTGTGTTTTTATTTCCATGACCTATATACATTATGTTTTTCAAAATAGCACCATACAATGAATATTCTTTATACCATATTGCACACATACAGAAAATATTTATTTAATTAAATAGAAATCCCTTATAAACAGAGATCATTGAAGTGCAATTTCTAGAATTGTTTGGGTTGAGAATATGTTCGGACATAATCAAGATGCTTCTTCTAGGCTGTGGATGAACTCATTGTATGTTTTCATAAAGGCATAATTAAAATAAAGCAATTTCATTGATTTTATGTGTCAACTTCATAATTATTTTTTCTCTTCTGGGACTGTTAAACCAAAGCATTTGTCTGACCTTATACCAAGGCAATCTTAGTTTCAGGAAAAAGTGTGTATTCCAAATTGTTTAAAGCTGCTTGAAACAAGAAATTTCAAAAATGTGTTAAAATGACCTCTTTCTTCTTAGTATTGTGTTAGAGAAAACTGTTTTCTGATAGAGTTAAACATTCTTTATTGTTCTCAAAGAGATGACATAAATATTGAGGATATAAAATCAAGCCACAAGCTCCATCTTTCTTATCAATTCAGAAACCATGTTCAAACACCTCTCTAGTAGGCAGAAATCCAACTTGTGTTTAAAACCGACATCATCCACATAGCTCATTCTTTTGGGGGGCAATCTTGATTATCTTGATATAAATTTATTTTTTTACATAAAGACAACATCTGCATCCTTGTCAGTCTGCTTACCAATGAACTCTACATTTGCCTGTGTGTTACAAAAAATTACTTTTATACCTCTTTCATCAAACACTTTTTTTTTTTCCCAGCTGGGATAGTGCTGATATGCACTGACATCAGAAACAAAAATCACATATATCACAAACCAAAATCACATAAGTGAAAGGATACATGTGCACATATTTGCTTATTTAAACACACATACCCCTCCCCCCACACACACAACATTCTTCCCTAACAATATGCAGGGTTTATAGCTCTATGCTAAGTATACCATGGTTTACAAAATAATCAGACTTATTAACACTCAGGAATCACCTGGTATCTTCTGGAAAGTGGAGAGTAGAAGGTGTAACAATGAATAAGTAAAGAACAGAGAGCATATGAAGAAGCATCACAAGATGAAACTATAAATATGCAGAATTTTTCAATGTTTTGATAAGAAGTTTGATTTTATTTAAGTGATATTGGAAATTTTTAAAAATTAAAGCCACATTTTAATATCATGATTCAAGAAAAAATTATTTTTGACAACTTGACAGAAACACAATAGATTTGAAGAAGGATGTCTAATAGGAGTTCATTTTTAACGATAGCATTTGTAATAAGAACAGAACAGTGGACATTGAAATAGGAGACACTGAAGAAATAGAATTGGCAGGTCTTAACAACTTCAGGAAGAATAGATGATGATATAATTGTTCCTCAAGGTGATAACGACAAATAATCTCATTTCTTTATTCTAATTTCATAATTTATATCAATAACAGAGTCCCAACATCTCAGTCTGACTTCTCAAAATAGCCTCTAAAAAAAATATGTCCAAAGCAGAGTACATATTTTCCTTCCAAAAGTATCCTTTTATATCCTTATCTCAATGAATAATAYCATACCTCTCTAGCTAGCAGCTTTATAGTAAGTCAGAAACCAAATCAAAATATTCAGTGGGAAACATTTATTTTACTTCCATGTTAGTGAAGCCTTTAAGGATTTAAACATTTTCTAGCATTGATCATTCAATAATGCAGTTAGATTTGGAACATGATTAATCTTAGCAAAGCCAAGCTTGGCATTCCAGGTTACACTTTTGAATAAAGAATAACCCCTTCTCTYGTTTTAATTTTAATTGGAATCATCAGACATGCAATATTATTCAATATTATATAGGTATGATTCAAGAAATACTATAACAAACCAAAAGCATCACTAAGAAACAGAGGAAGGAGCTTTGATTCTTASGATCATAAAGGATGAAAATAAACTTCATAAAATTTGTGTTTGAATAGGCATCAGAAATAGTGGTAGGATCTTTCTTGCAATATTAGCAGAATGTCAAATTAACCTAAATTTTATTTGGTGAATACTCAGGGTTCTACATGCAAAAATGTCAGTTCCTGTTTATGTTATAGATTATATTCATATTTTGTGTTTAGGAATTATCATCATTTGATATTAATTATACAGCTTTTCTAATATAAATTTTAAGCAGATAATTAAATGAGTAGATAATCACCTACTTACAGTTAACCTTTATCAGATGGGCATTTCTTACTTAGAAAATTATTCTTTTTACATTTTGTTTGAATAAAAACAATCTTAGTAAATTGATAAATTCAAATACAATACTTTCTTTTTTCAAACAGCAAAACAATATCTAATATTTTTAAAGTACTCAGACTTACCCTTCACATGTACATGTATATACATGTGCACACATTTATGTGTGGATCGAGTTAGAAAGCTAGGTGAGGAGATGGGAATGAGTTATGAGTTTTGCCATGGTCAAGAGGAAGAGCTAAAGAGAAAGATTATTGCAATTTTAACAAGTTATAAATAAGRGACAAAGATAAAACTGTGTCTATTAACAGTATATAAGATAATTTCAGTTATATATGAATAGAGATGAAAAATAGTATCTATCATTTTATATAGTTGATTTATATAATTGAAATCAAGTAGTTTTGCCTAAGGTAGAATTAGTGTAAATAGATGTCTCTCTTCTTTGTTCATAGGCCATTCCAATAGTAAAACCATATTAAGGAAATGCAGGACAGAAGATAGAAATATTGCTATTTATTTATATGATCAGGAAATTCAATAGTCTCAATATAATTTGTCTGGTTTGAAAAGACTTATCAACATTATTGTAAACTGTTAAAGGAATTTATATAGAGCTTAAATGGATGGTCTGTTACAACCCCAGTTTTCCCAAATCTGCCAATTTAGAGCACAGTAGRATTCTTATTCATGGGTAGAGATTTTACCCAAATTACCTCAGAAATTCTTTAGGGACCACAAAATGTGGAAAGCAGGAGATCTAATAAGGTTATTTCTAGGGTCACTAGCTTAGAAAAGCTTTGGAGCTTTATAAAGTTGTGTATGAGGTGAGTGAATCAAAACCTACATTTTAATTAATTATGCAGGAACTTTCACATGACCCCAAAACAACACATGTGGCAGGTTTTAACCTTATTCATGAGGGAATTGGAACATTAGCTCAAGGTCCACTCTCCTACTGTTACAGCTTACACAAAAGATTTGTTTTTAAAGGCAGGTGCTTTTGTTTGAGGTAGAATTAAAAGCTCAAAATCTCAAGGTCAATCAACCTGCTGTTATTAAACTTATGTGCATCTAAATCATCTTTTGTGGGTTTTGGGGTAATAATAAGCAGCAATAAAGTGTAGATAATTTGCATGAGGATGACAAATTGGACCTGACCAAACAAACACAGTGTGACTGTGTCCTTTAGAACAAAGGCAATCCAACTGCCTGTCTTAAAAATAATAATTCACCTGAGATTAAATAAAGTCTGGAGTAGATCATTAACTGAGTGCCATGGGTTCTCATGTCAGTCTATCTGATTTTTAATCACATAATTGATTATATCTTTTGTGAAGCAGACAATATTTTAAAATAGTAATGCTTTAAAAACTTATATCCCTGACTTGGATCTCAACATCAAAGAAAACAGATATTTGACGCTTACTGTCAAGTTAATTAAGACACAAGGCTAATAAGCATAGTAGTGGTGGAAGTACATTTTCAATATGATTCTGAATAGATTGGTTCAATGAGACAAATCTTTACGTTCCTTAGAACTCCACAGTTGCACCCTCCCTTTGAAGGATAAGCATTTTAGATAGAACATATCAGACTGTAATAGATTTTCTGGAACTGCCAAATCCTAGGAAGTGTCTCTCTATATGGTGGCTGGTTGAAATAACATGTACACACTCTTGTTTTAATGTCTTAGTTGGATGTATTGGACAGACTGGGAGGAAGATGAAATAGATGACAGCGTGGGAAGGATCGAAAAGGCTTGGATGGATGGCTTCAATCGGCAGATTTTTGTGACTTCAAAGATGCTGTGGCCAAATGGTTTAACTCTGGACTTTCACACTAACACATTATACTGGTGTGATGCCTATTATGATCATATTGAAAAAGTGTTTTTGAATGGAACTCACAGGAAGGTAAAAGACAACTGCTGCTGTTTTTAACCCACAGGCTTTTTTCTTTCACAGAGCCTTGTTGTGCTGTGTTAAAAATACTTTCAAGTTTATTTTTACCCCTCTGAGGTAGCTGCCAATAGTCTCTGTGGGGTGGCTAACGGAGGCTGAGCATTAAGCATTGCAGCTGGCACTTGCCTCCAGGAGACCAAACCCAGCTCACTGTGGTATGCCAGGATTTGTGGGATTTTTAAAAGAAGCTCTCAGGATATCAGAACTGTTTTAAAATGCAGTTTTCCTACATTATTGATGAATTTTATATGACCAAGGAACTCAACTCTATACAAATATGTTCAATATTTGCAGCTGGAATTTAATGTATGCAAAGATGATTTTGAGGTTCTTGGACAAAATTGAGGACGATGTGGTTGATTGTTAGAGAGACCAGACATCACCTTTATATTTCATCTTATAATTACTTAACCATATACAACAGTATAATCTAACTTCAACTATTACTTAAATAATGGAAGAATCACATGTTAGAAATCACCAAAATGCTTCTTTTGACATTACATTCTTTCCTTTTTGGAAAGAAAACTGCACAATTAGGTAATTCTACTGATTGTAGATTTTGTTTGAGAAATAAATAATACTCATTGGTTAAGCTTATTTCAGTCATTGGTTTACTCTCAGAGTTCCAAATATTTTCCCCAAGTTAGATAAAACTGGTTGGCATTTAGCCAAATGCAATGTATTTAACAGGTGCTAACCAAGTATTTACAATTTCTTTGAATTTGATAATATGTATACAACATACAGATCACTTTTATGGTAAGCATATTTTAGCATACATTAAGGTGAGAAAAAAATCAAGAAACTATCTTAATTATACAATATATGTTAATTTGACATGAAGAATTCAGTTAAAAAGAGGAAAAATTAATTTTTTAATCATAAATAAGGTAGGTAACTTCCCTAATTTTCTAGCAAATTAAGTTAATAGAAATGTTTTCTCATATTGTAACAATATTATTTTTAAATGACAAAAGGTGTAAAAGTATTATTGTTGGAGGTATTATTTGTCTTCTAGAATTCTATATGTGTAAATGGACTTAAATATATATCACATGATTTCTCTATTTAAACATCAACAAAACATAATTTGAATGAAAATGAACTTATTAATATAATCAGAATTGAAATTATACCAGTAAGCCTTATCCATGTACTAACAATAAACTTTTCTATCTTCAAAATTAAAGTCTTAATCTTCTTTCCTTTCATCCCCTAGATTAGTTCAATTTTCCTGGGACCAATTAATTCAGAAGGAATCCCTTTCATTCCCACTGCCTTTACATTTTCCTCCCTTTGGCCATTGGATGGGCAGTATTGCAATATATATGACACTAATTATTTAGTTCAATGTCTARCCAAGAATATGATACTATAATATAATAAGGAAAAGAGATTGGAATGAATATTAGGAAAAATCATTTTCATGTTTGCATTCTTTTTTTTATTAATTGCTCATGACAATACAATGATCTTAACATATCATACATTTGAATCAAATGGGGAATAATTTTTCATTTTTCCAAGTATACAGGCTTCAGAATCACATTGGTTGCATTCTTTACTGTTGAAGTACCATTTATGAGAGAATTGAAATGGATATAATATAGATGGTATCTTTCATATTGCATGATATAAAAAAGAAAAATATGCTCATGTTATGAAATTCATTATTCCAATGTACTGGAAGAAAACAGGAATTAAGACATTAGTTAGATCATTGTCTGTTATGCTTACTTAAACATCATTTTCTCTAAATATTAAGTTATGTTTCTARTGGTCATTTCTAATTTTTCACAATGTGTTTACATTTTCCAGATTGTATACAGTGGAAAAGAATTGAATCATCCCTTTGGATTGTCACATCATGGGAATTACGTGTTCTGGACTGATTATATGAATGGTTCCATTTTTCAACTAGATTTGATAACAAGTGAGGTGACATTACTAAGGCATGAAAGACCACCTTTGTTCGGGCTTCAGATTTATGATCCACGAAAGCAACAAGGTACTGAAAAAACAGATTAAAAAACAACAACAACAAAAAACCTTCTCTGTGTTTCATATATAATAATGCTTCACAGTATTGTAAAAAGCTTTTATTTTGAAAGTGTTGCCAATGTTTTATGATCAAAGGTGTCCACCCAGGTGTCACTCCTACGCCAATCAAATCTTCACTTTTGTTAATGTATAAAATATATTTTTTATTGTTCTATTTATAGCCTGGCTTAGTAAATTTGGGGATCCTGAGCAAAGATCAAGGTTTTCTTAAATATTTCCTTTTTCATGTCATTTCCCTAAAGAATGCTCTTTGTTAAATAAAGTAAACATATAAAAGGAAAGAAAAGAAAACATGTTTTTAAAGAGTAGTTACCGTGAGCACTGAGGAAAAACTTCCACACTTTGAGAAAAATTGAAAAATTAAAAAAAAAATAAATTGCATTGTATAAGTGTTATTTTAAAAAAGTAACTAGCTTAATATATTTTTCTGATTAGTTTCTATGTATATTTAAAGAACATGTCATTATTTTAGATGATTTGATTGTATAACTATGACAATATTCATTTCTTATTAAAATCAGATAATTTTAAATGTTTCATCTGCATGACTTGTTAATGTTTGTTATGCCAGCACAAATAGCATGATTCATAGCTTAGATATTAAACAAAGAAAACAGCTTAGTAAATTATGTTGCAGTTTTTTATGATTCTAAATAGTCACTTTTCCTTTTTATGGCAATATCCTTGTAAAAATTTAATGAGGATACATTTCAATAAATTTAGAATGAATGAATTATATCCTCAATTCTCTGGTGCATATGTTGTCAATAGGAAGTTATCTACCAACAAGTTTTTGAAGATATTTTAGCTAAAGTAGCTATCTTGAAGTCAACTATCTCATTCCAGGGCTTTTCTTTTAGTGTATTAAAATTGCTTTATTGAGACACAAGCACAGTGTTTTAAAATAATAGCAGTGAATAACATGATACACATCAGTAGCTAAAACAGGATAAATTTATCTTTAAAAGAAATAAAAATGGAATTGTTTGGGATAGCATAGGTTATTGCTGTGGACAAGACCTAAAAATAGAGACAATTGCTAGCACCTCTAAGGGAAATTTTTTCTGTTACATTCTAATTACCCTGTCTTTGCCCACATCACCATTATATTTTGTCTATACTAAACTAGAGGCAAAAATGAAGAGGAAAAACTCTTCTTATTTTCTGCAGGATCTTGTTTTAAGGATTATTATTTTTTTCTGCCTTTACAACCATTGATTCCATAATTTATATACATATGTATATATATTTATATGGGAATGAACTTAGGAGTCCTTAACCATCCCTAGCCCTTTCTTATACTTTAATTAGAGACAGGGTCTCACTAAGTTGCTGAGGCTGGGTTTGAACTTGCAATCATCCCTCATCAGCCTCCTGAACCACTGGGATCACTACCGCACCTGGCTAAATAGACATATTTTTTTTTTTCCTATTTTCCTTCTCTTCAGAAATTGTTCCTTTTCTTTTGGTTATGTGATGGCACTATGTTATTCCAGTTGGTCTTAAACTTGCTATCCTCCTGCCTTTATCTCCCAACTAGCAGAGATTAGAGGCATGTACTACCATGCCTGGGTAGACATTGTTCCTCTTGAAAGTTTTTGCTGAATTCTTCTAGCCAAACCCCATAACACTTTTTTTTCGGGAGCTGGGGGAGGGCAGGGGGAGATACTGGGGATTGAACTCAGGGAAACTCAACCACTGGGCCACATTCATAGCCCTATTTTTATTTATTTATTTTATTTAGAGACAGGGACTTACTGAATTGCTTGGATCCTCACCATTGCTGAGACTGGCATTGAACTCGGAATGATCCTGCCTTTGTCTCCTGAGCTGCTGGGATTGTAGGAGTATGCCACCATGCTTGGCCTCCATAACATTTTTTTAAATCTATATATGCTTTAAATGTGTAGTTGCTTTAGAGAGTTCATCAGTTGTATGCAACATATTGAAAAACATCCTGATGTACTACAAAATGAACTTTGTCTCACATCTGGATCTTAGCACTTTTTTTTTTCTGAAAACTTGGGCTCCATCAGAAAAGATTCAATGAAAACTTTATTCATAAAATTTCTGTGAGATTTAAAAATTATTTGTTATATTTAATGAAAACTTGTTATTTCTAAAGTTATATGTAATAAGCACTTTAAATATTCAGTGAGTAATATATCAGAATCATACAACAAAGTACATGACAGAGGAATGGTTCTGGTATTTGGGAAGGTACCATAATATACATCTGTGCAGTGTTATCCTTTGGATAGACAGTGGTCTTTAAAAGTGCTTTTTCCTGCCTTTTAATTAATAACTCAAAATAGAGACTTAGCAGCCTGCCAAGATGGCGCACCCCAAATCCCAGTAACTCCTGAAGCTGAGGCAGGAAGATGAGAAGTTCAAGGCCAGTCTTGGCAAATTTGTTAGATCCCATATCAAAATAAGAAATTTTTGAGAAAGTAAAGTTGAGGTTGTAGTTCAGTGGTAGTGCCCCAAGGTTCAATCCATACTACTGCTAAATAAATAAATATGTAAGAAAACTTAGCCCTGATTACTAAACTATCAACTTATTTAAGAAACTATTATATTCTATTTTATTGAGAATATGTGTTCAGCCAAGCTGATTATTTCTCATTAAGTGAACTTATCACTTAGTTTGTTTTTTACCCAGTTTTTTTCCCCAGTCTTATTGACATAGCTCAAGATCCTTTAATAATGACCTTTGAACAGACAATACAATATGAAAATGATGCCTAATTAGCACCTTTTCTCAAGAGAGATTGAAATTGGAAAATCTATTCAAGATCCAATTTTTTTGTGTATTTTTCTATATGGATCAGTGTGATATAATTATATGATAAAATGCACACATGTTTAAATGTATGTATGTTATCTTACTGTGTTATAATTTTCTTTCTGTTTCATTTTTCAACATAATAATTAACAAAGATATTAATTAACATTTGGAAATACACTATTTTATTTACATACTTTCTCATTAAACTATGTGTTAGTCTGTGTTTGGTATCTATAACCATAACTCCTGATAAAAATAACTTAGAAAAACAAACATTTATTTTGACTTCATAGGCTCAATCCAGTGTTAACCAGCTCCATTGATGAGGGCTGGAGGTAAGGCAGAACAACATGGCGGAATCACACATGAGTGTGGGAGACAGAGTGGGGGAGGCTGGAGGTTGGCACCAGCCACATAATGAAAACCCCAAAACATGCCTCTAGATACCTACTTTCTCAGCCATACCCCACCTGTCTATAGATACCTCACCTGTCTATAGATACTGTCTATAGACTTAGTCCATTCAAATTAGGATGGACTGATTAGATTAAAACTCTCATGATCATTTCACTTCCAGTATTAACACAGGAATTTGGGGGGAAGTATTACTTATTCAAACCATAAAATCTATTTTATTGTTTTTACAACTTTCTCTCTCTCCTGGAGAATATAGTTTCTATAACTTCACATAAAACCTATAGTGTATACAGAATATATTTATAAGCAGTATTTTTATATACTTATGTGAATGTAGTATACATATCAACTGCCTGGAACACCATGAAAATATTCAGAGATGCTAAAAATGTGGCATATAAACAAATTAAGTCCGCTAATCAGACCCCTCCCCTCATATCAGGAAATATACTTGTCAATCACTTTCCAATATACCAGATTATTTTAGGAAGGTAGATGTGTATGTATGTGTGTGTGTGTGTGTGTGTGTGTGTGTGTGAATATATATATATATAACCATAAAAACCAGAAAGATAATTCTATATAGTTAGGGATTTAATGTCAAGATATTTTTCTCATGTGGTACTGTCATTTCTTCTGATAAAATTTAATTTAATTCTCATTTTATTTCCATTAAATTTGATATCTATAACAATTTTATTGACATTTTATATCTAAACTAATATTTTGTAACACTCTTCTAAAATTCCCCATATAAAAATAGCAACATTAAAAAATAACATTCTTTAACTTTTATTCTCTAAATTAAAAAACACACCTTGAATTTTCCTGTGCTTTAGAGAATGAAATAATCCAAATTAAGTAAAATTTGAAGAAAAATTGATGACTGCATGTAGTAATGGGTGCTTCTAATACCAGCTTCTCAATAGGCGAAGGCAGTAGGGTCATAGGTTCAAGTTCAGTCTCAGCAGCACAATAACAGCCTTTTTCAAAAACAAAACAAAATAAATAATTCCCCCCAAAACAAATAATTACAAAACCTGAAGAATAGTATTCCATATATATTTTATAATAATAGGTTATTTCATGACAGATGACATCTGTTAACCATTAATTAATCGTAATCATCATATTTACCAGGATGTGGGATAGTCATTATTATCTAAACCTCACAACAAATATTGAAGAAAGGTACTAATGATTTCTGTTACACATATGAGAAACCTAGAGATAAGACAGATATAGCCATTTGCCCCGAGGAAATAGTAAAAYAGGATGAAACTACAATTAAATTTGAGATCTGTCTGTCCAGAGCTTATTTTTCACTGAATTATTTGTGTGGCCAATTTTACTCATGCAAATTTTACCTCTATTCTACTTCTAAATGGAAGGAAAAGAACATGTGCTTTCCTTGGTCATTGTAGTCACATTATTGATAAATTTTGTATTCACATTTTTTAAATTTAAAGTGCCCTTAGCTACCTGTGTAGAATTTAGGATTCAACCACATTCTAGTTTACAGACTTAGCAATTTTTATTTAATGTATAACAGGTTTTTTTTTTTTTTAGGTCAAGTGAGATTTAGGTTTTGTGATAAGACCATCATCATAAAATTTGTCTTTTAACACCATATTGTTTTAAATGCAAAATATTACACACACACACACACAGCAAATCAAAAATAAACATATCAATGGCATGTAATTAATTCTGAACAGAAGGAAAGATAAGAAACCTTTTATTCTTTCCTGAGATTAACATCATTTAAAGTCAATTCTGAATTATCCTAGAATAAATGCAGGGTTCACCTGACCTAAGGATTTCACTTTGCTGGTCTCATATTCTTGGAGTAAACATGTTGTCTAATTTCTTTTCTAAACTGTGAACTTGAACATCCCACCATTAAGTGGAAACTCCTCCTGGAGTTTTCGTGTTATGTGTTAGGTACAGAGAGTTCTAATTTCACTCATGATAAAACCCTTARAAATCAATGAGTCCAGGAAGCATAAAGAAAACAGGGTTTCTTCTTTCCATTATTCTGAAGAAAATCGGTATGAAGGGAAAACAGATGGTGGGATTGCTTTGTGCTGGTTTACGCAGTCTACCACTTGCTAGAAAGAAGAAATTTATTAACAGAAGTTAAATTACTTTGGTCTAGAAACATTGAGATGTTAATCCAAGCTTGTGATGTTTTGGGATATCATTTGTGTCTTTATTACTGTTTCTATTGAAGTTATAATACGCTATAAAATATACTCTTTCCTGAAAAGCAAAGTCCATACAAACAGTATATATCTAGACTTAAGTAAAAATGAGAGAAATTCCTTCATCCTATTAAAACTAATATCTATTCACACACTTGTACCTTGTATACACACTGCAAGTAATTGTTTCCGTCATTCAACGGAAAAGTTTTATTTTATTATTATAATAATTTCATATTTCTCCTAAGGCTGACTTAGATCTTTTTTTTTTTATTTTACAGTATTCCTCTACATTTTTGAATTTATTATAAGAACTTTTTCAAGATAGAGCTCATGTGATAGACCTTTTTGAAGTTTTAGCAACTGAAAGTGTCATTTATTCATTTACTTACTCAACTAATGTATATTAAATGTACCTTTTGTGTCAGGCACTATTTGTGAAACAGAATAATTCTTCTTCTGTAACGTAAAAGATTGGGAAAAAAGACTCAGAAAGATCATTATCTTGAACTAGAATTTGAAAGTAGTCTTCATTTGCTTTCCTTGCATATTTGATTTTTTAATGAAATATGTTTCCAAAGTAAATTATCTAGAATTCCAATTTGTTGTTTTAGCATATTATTTTTTCTGTATTCTTTTGAACTTGGTTTATTTATAAGTTAAAGAAGGTGAATTTTAGAGTAAAAATCCTTTTACTAATAGTTTAGAAATAAGAATAGTAATAATAGTTATTATCTAGACATAAATAGTAATTTTAATAAGGAGTATTATTAATTTTTAGACATTAGAAAATTCAATTCAACCCTTATATTCTCATTACTTACAAATAAGATAAAGCCTACCTTAATATTTGATTATAAAAAATGAAGTGAATTAAATATATGTGTGAGACAACTGTCTCTGGGATTGATACATTATGGACTTTCATTAATGTAACTATCAATATATTAATATCTCTTTCCATTGATATAGATGTACAATCATTTGCACTACATTTGAAAACCAGTCACTGAATCATGTTTCAGAGATATTTTTATGTGAAATATTTTGGAAGCTGCTAAAACTTCAAAAAAGTGTATCACATGAGCTCTGTCAAAAAAGTTCATATAATAAATTAAAAATGTAGAGGAACACTGTAAAATAAAAAGGATCTAAATCATTCTTATGAGAAATATGGAATTATTATAATTTATTTAGATTTTAGTTTTCTATCATGAGAGCATAAATACCAATGCCAGTAATTTAATATGTAGCAGTCACAGGATGGGAATATATTTCAAAGTTTGAATAAATGATAATTTATTTTCAAATACTTAAATCTCACATTAATTAGAATGTAAGTATGAATCACACAATTGATTTAAAGAATATAGTCATTGTCATTATTTTTTATTTTTAGTGCCTTTGTTATTCATATATTTTGTAACATATTTTGAGTTAATAGTAATTTTCCAAAATCCAGGTGTTACTAAACTATTGAATACTTAATTTAATTATGTATACAATATGCACAACAAAGACAGTACATCTGAATGACCTGTGGAGTACTGCAGTTTCATCCCATGGTCACGTGATAAACATGACCTTATCTGGTGACTACTTAAGACATTCATTTCTGCATTCCATATTGAAAAAGAAAAAAAAACTGAACTAAGCTTAATTACTAAGTTTAAAAACTGAAGCTAATTCTCAAGTTTTCTTCTGTTTCAAAGTTTATTTTTAAAATTTTTTATAAAKATCATATTAAATTCTCAGAATAATTAAAAGAAGCAATAATATACTTTAAGTCATTTATTCAGATCTGTTGGCACAAAATAATAATGTATGGGAATTAATTAATTAATTAATAATGGTGCATACAGCACCATTTTAGAGAGTATTTTTTTTCCCTTGCTTAATATTCTTTGAATAGCAATCCAACCCCTGAAGCCCTCAGTATAAACCTGTCGGTCATTTTAGTCATATTTTTGTCACTTACACTTTAACTCTCAATTTTATCTTAGTTATTTTATTATTTATTGTATGACCTTGTGAAATTAAAAGCTCTTTTGTTCTTTTTTTAAGAGATTGAGAGAGAGAGAGAATTTTAATATTTATTTTTTAGTTATAGGCGGACACAACATTTTTTTTTTTTTTTGTATGTGGTGCTGAGGATCGAACCCAGGCCACAAGCATGCCAGACGAGCGTGCTACTGCTTGAGCCACATCCCCAGCCCTCTTTTGTTCTTAATATTTAAAAAAGATCTTCTGATATAATCAAAACCTTTTTATTTGTACCTTGAAAATGCAACATAGTGTAAATGATGACACTATGTTGTTGACACTGCCAATTGTATTGATAGTGTTATAGAGTTCTTTGTAAAGTTGGACAAATGTATGGCTCAGTTCACTTTCTTTCTTGCCTTTCCAACCTGTAGGAATACATAGCATCAAAATGGTGATTACATTAATTTTATTTACTCTTTCCTACAGCTTTATGAAATATAATTTCCAACCCCTTCAAAAATTTGCTTATTTTTTTTCTGAAAGTCTCTAAAGGTGCTTTCATATATATGTTCATGAATAATTTTCTCTCATGCCTATTTAATTGATGCTCATTTTATGCCTCCTCAGTGCCTCTGCATGTTAGGTCCTATGGGACAACACATTCACCCTTCTGTACTGTACATTCTCTTGATAGCCATCAAGCTGCACATACCCTGTGCTCTTTTGAGTCCTCAACACTCTGTCATATAAGCATACTCTTTGCACAAAATGGAATATCTCAGTCTTGTTCCTTGTTTGCTTTCTGTTTRTGAGAGACCCAAAGCTGAATTCCAAGAGCCAGTAGTTAAGAACTCAGACTTGAATAAAGACAGATGTATTTGACCCTCTTTTTCTTTTTCCTTGTATCTAACTGTCCACAGACCACTTTCTTCTGCAATCAACACTGAAATTCTTCTTCTCTACCAAAAAAATTACTTATTTTAAAGTGTTTCTGAATTTTATTACAATTCAGAAGGAGTCTTGACTACATTATTGAATATATTATATACAGAGCATATCAAAATGTAAATATCTATACCTATGTGTACCTACTAAAAAGAATGTGGGCTTAACCTGGCTGACTGATTGGAATCAATATTCTCTAATATATTTGCTTCTCTCCTATTGTAGGTGACAATATGTGCCGAGTCAATAATGGGGGCTGTAGTACACTTTGCTTGGCCATTCCAGCAGGCCGAGTCTGTGCTTGTGCCGATAATCAACTTTTGGATGAAAATGGGACAACTTGCACATGTAAGTTTCTTTTCTTGTCACACGTATTGTTTATATGCCTCATTCTGAAGATTAGAAAGAAACAGGTGAAACCAAAGGAATTACAATCAAATTGGAGGAGAAATTCAGAAAATTTCTTAGATATTATTCTTTCCAGACTACAAATTATTAAATGAATCAATTTCTAATGAACAGATAATTAATTACAGTGATGAAATTGGCAGAGTATTCTGTCAGTGTTGCATTAAGTTTAACAAAGAAAATTAAATAAGTATATGCCAAACAAGCAAATATTTAATGATATTGTAAAAGAACCTCACCATCAGCACTTGCAACTAAAATCACATAGTTGATGAGATAGTTAGTAGAACATTGGTTTAAAATGACTTAAAATGACCAAATGGGCTCAGCTATCTCTATTTGGTGGTGAAGTACAAGGAAGAAGGCAAAGAAAGAGACTTATAAGGAATTTATAGACTTTATCAAAGTAGTGAAATGATTAATTGAAATGATTGTCCTGGATTAATGGTACTTTTGTTAACTTTTACTGACATTCTCCAATTTATTGCACCTTATTATTCCAAAGTGACTCTTGAAATTTCTTATTTCTACCACAAATTGTCTCCCTTAAGAACAATAACAACAACAATATTATGTATGCACTGAGCTCTCTATAAAAATTTCTGAATGATTTCATTTTGAATTGTATGCTAGTTAGAGTTCTCCAGAGAAATAGAACCAGTAGGATGGATGGATGGATTTGTATATGTATATACACACACACATACAGTTTGAAGGATTTTATTGTGAGAAATCAGCTCACATAATCTTAGGTTCTGCAGTTGACAATCTGGAGATTAGATGCCAATGGACTTGAGACCCAGTAAGAGGTGATGTTCCAGTTCATTCTAAAGGCACAAAAGAACCTAAGGGTCCTGGGGTATTTAGACCCCAAATTATTTTATTATGGAGACTGAACTCTTAATTATCTTGTACGCTATTAGTTTTGAATAACAAACACTACAGTATAATTTATTTTGTTCTCTATTTTACTTATGTAACTGAATATTCTTTGTGAACATAATTTTTATCGACTACATTTTAAGCCATTAATTTTTTTTTCATATTTAATGTACTATTTATGATTCATTGTTATAGATATTTGCTTATTTCTTCATTGTTTATATTTTTCTGTATTTTACCTTATAGTCTATGGTCCATTTGTGTAAGATCCTCCTTAGCTATTTGTAATATTACTATAAGTTTAAATTCTATTACTGTCATTGGAATTTCAACTCTGAGATGAAGACTCTAGTTTTCTTTCTGCCCCTTTATTTCACTATATAATTATAATATAGTTCTTATGTTATAATTTAGGAGTATAATTTAGGATTTCTGATCAATTATATTAATTAAAATCAAAAGGATTCTTTGTAAATGTATTTTGACATTGAACAATTAATTAATTTTATAATATTTTACAATACTTTTAGACCTATATTAGAGTTTCTTTAAGTATATTTTTAAATTCTTTGATCTTTGGTACACTGTAGTTTATTTATTAATTTTCATTAATTTGTAGAATAGATGGAATATATCTTGAAGTAACTTTTTAAGGAGTGAGTATAAGGTATATATTGTCTAGTTCTTTTGTATAGCAAATATGTCTTTACCTTTCTGTGTGAATAGCAATTCTTTTCAGTATGAATCTTCTCTTCAAAATTCTAGAAATGTTCTTCATTTTTTTTTGTAGAATTTCACACTTCTAAACACAAATATGTTTTATCTCTTTCGCAGTTCTCTCTCTCTCTCTCTCCCTCTCTCTCTTGTGCTAGGAATTTAACCCAGGACCTTGTTCAAGATGTCTTACACTGGCCTATCTCCCCAACCCTTTTTACATTTTACTTTGAGACAATCTCAATAAATTGTCCAGGCTAGCATCAGAACTTGAGACCCTTCTGTTCAACATCCCAAGTAGCTAAGATTACAGGTGTTTGCAACCATGAACAGCATAAGTTTGTTTCCTTTGGTAAAGGAATGTTAAAAATTACCTACAATGTGATTTCTGTAGAAGATAATTCTCAAAGATATATTTTCCTTAAGTTCCCAGGTGATTTTTTCTCTTCCTTTTTTTCTGTAGGATGATTTTCAATTCCTATTTTCTTGTAGTTTATTTATCATCATAAGAAAAGGGACCTGTCAAGACTAATTGTTCACCAAAAGTCAGGGCTTAAGCATGTCTTTAGATAACTTAAAGTCTATCAAGGTACCTTTGAGGCTGAACTTTATTTTAATCCTTGGGAGGAAAGTTGTGGTTAAAATATTCATTTCATAGTTTTTTTTTTTTTTAAATTCTCTAAGGATGCATTTAAAATTGCTTTTCTGGAATAACATGGGACTTTCTGCTAACCCAGTGGATGACTTTGACATCCAACAAAAAGAAAATACACACACACACACACACACACACACACACTCACTCTGTTAGCCTTTATGAATTTCCACCTGATTTCATCCTACTTTTGCTCCAGCCCTAGACTTCTTGCCAAGGATGGGCGGTATATCTGAAAGCACCTCCCTTCATGGTGGTTCAGGCCTTGAACTCCATTATGCAGTACAAAAATCTATCATCCTGCTTAAAATTTGAGAGGCTTACTCAATATCCAATGACATGTTTAAGTTGATTCTAAATGAATTTTTAAATCCAGTCTTATTGACCTTGAAAAACGTAAAAGTTGCCTCATAATAGTATCAGTGAAATGATCAAGAGAATGAGCTCAGAGATCTTGGATTTTCACTTTTGTTCTTTGTCATTGTAGGAAGTTGAGGTACTAACATCTAGATAATATGCTAACCTTGAAATTTTCTGTTCAGCTCCTCAATTTCAGTTATATGGTTCACAGACCTTTTAATTATTTTTCCTTCTTTCCTTTATTCTATGCTACATTAAAAGTTTATGAATCACTTTAGAGTAAGCATAGATAGAAGAATAAATAGACATGGAAAGATATTGATAGATGGATAATATTACCAAAGAAGGGAGGAAATGCACAAACTCATAGAAAATTATTGTAACTATAAAAATGCACTGAGCTGGTATAAGCAACTGTGATAAACAGAAAAAAATGAACTGTGCACTGGTAGAGAACTGCCTAGTATGTATAGGGCCCTGGGTTCATTTTCAACACCCAGTATTTCTTKCTCTCTCTCTCTCTCTCTCTCTCTCTCTCTCTCTCTCTCTCTCACACACACACACACACACACACACACACACAAACACACACAATTGGGATAAGCAGAAGACAAAACTAAAAGTACTATTATTATATAACATAAAAGAAGTAAAACTCTGCCAGGATAACTTTTTATCTCTATAAATTTAACTATATAAATTGCCTATTTCCATATACATTCTTGTGGCTCAAAAATAGTGAAAGTTTGGTTAACAGCCAGAGGAATTAAAATCAGCATACTGCAGTGATATAGCCACATCAATCTTTATAGCATCTCAATTCACAATACTCAAGCTATGGAGCCAAGCTAGATGCCTACGAACAGACAAATGGATAAAGAAATTGTGGTATATATACACACAATGGAACTCAACCATAAAGAAGAATGATTTTATGAAATTCTCCAGTAAATGGATGGATCTGGAGACTATCATGCTAAGTGAAATAAGACAAGCCCAAAAAAMCAAAAGGAGAATGTTCTTTTTGATATTTGGATGCTAATCCACAACAAGGCAGGGGTGGGGAGCATAGAAGTCCAGTAGATTAGATAAGGGGGAATGAAAGGAAGGGATGGGAGTTGGAAATAGGAAAGACAGTGGAATGAAATTGACRTAACTCTCCTATGTAAATGTCTGGATACACCACCTTGAATCTCAACATGGTGTACATCACAAGACTTTGATCCTAATCAGAATAAGATAGTCCATGTTTGTATTAATATATCAAAATAGATTCTACTGTCATGTGTAACTACAAAGAACAACAACAACAAMATGTTTCAGGAAAAAGAGCCAGTCATCGCTTGTCCATTGTAAGTTCAAAACTTGCTTTCTTTCCTGCACCAAAAGTAGAATATAGAGAGGCTTATTGGGAATTACATTGACTCCTAACTTAACCTGTAATCATTGGTGTGTCAGCCTATGAGAGAGTAAGTGGAGAAGACATGATGTCTGCTCCTGCTGCTCCTGTAGTTTTAGTAAGCCCATATAAAGCACTCATACACAGCATTGGGGGTATCATCAAGACAGTGGCAAATGCTTCTCCTCACAGCCACATAATCAACTTAGTTTGAAAGTGTGTTTTAATTGTTCACTTATGTTTTTTCCTGGCTACTTCATCTCATAGTTAAATGTTGTCTAATTTATCAAGTTTGTCCTTCATTCATGTTTTAACAAATTTCACACATGTTTATATATCATGGTCAGAGGAGATACAGGAGATATTGGCTTGGGTGTTTGTTGTATTCTATTAGAAATGGCCCTGTCTCTTTTCCCAAATCCATAGATGAGTTTTCACTGTGGTTTTCCTGCCCCTGTCTTTCCTTTGTCTTACTGGCCTTTCATCCAACATTCTGCCTTATGTAGTTTGTCTCTTGCCATAACTGCCAAACCAAATAAAAACAAAACATGTTCAATATTTTCTTGGAAGCCAGAGATACAAATATCTTTAAAGGAACTCTAGCTGAGCACACACTCCAGGAGCACTTGGAATGATCCATACTGACAGGCTTAACTGTAGGGGGGAAAGCAACAGAAAGATAAGTTTTATTTATACATAACCCAGGCTATTGCTGGATATCTTTCTGTAAATAAAAATCAGATGACTTTGACTCATAAGAAAATATTGTTCACAATGTTGGTTATAAAACCSATGTTAGGACATTTGTTTACTATTGTTGTACATGTGTAATTATATACTTGGTAAAAAGTAGAGGAAATTTTTCTGAGACTATTGGTCTTTTTCTAGTATCTATAATTCATAGATGCAGTAATCTCAATGAAACAGAAG